TTTTCTCCGGTAAGAGAAATACTTAAAATAACAATTATGGGGTAAATTATTAAGTCAGAGGTAGCCAGTATAAAACAAGCAAGGCCAACAGCTTCATAATTAATACAGCGTCTTGTGTGTTATTTGGGGACTACAACGTGGCAGAGCCCAGGCGACTGGTGAGGGAAAACCAAAGCGGCTGGCAAGGAAAAAGCTTCTCTCTACAAATGCACTGAACAAAGTCGAACCATTAACCCAGTGTTGGGTTTCACATTACTTTACAACTTGCTTTCAGAACCTTTCCGATTTAAGTACACCTCTATCGCTAAGTCACGTGGTTTTAAGCAACTTACATATAAAGACTATGCCTATTCACTGCTGTCTTGAGTATCTAGCACATAGCTAGTGTTACAAGTACTGCAACTTATTGTTACTGTGTTAAAAGGTACTAGCCCAAGAGAGAAATACCAACAAGAGGGGAATGAATCTTCACCATTTCTAAATCTTTGCTTACACCATAACTGCTCTTCTGCCATAAAACTTCCTCTTCATGAGCATTCTTCAAGACCCCCTCTACTGACAATATTTTCCAAGGTGACCTTTCCTCTGTGCTACTACATTAGAGCCTTTAATGACTCTATCATTTACTTTAGCATTTCACACAGTCCCTGAAACAGAAATTGGATCTACATTTATCCTGAATCCCACACAGTGCTAACCACACCAAGTGGGCAGTAAGGAGGGGGAAGGAGCAAAGTTCCAGGAAAAGAGAACAGACTGGGAAACTAAAATCTGGCTGTAGGAACTGGAATGATGGCTCAGTAGTTAAGAGCAGTTGCTTCTCTTTGCTCTCTTCTCTTCTCTTACCCTCTATGTCTCTTCTCGCCTCTTCCCCTTCCCACCTCCCCCACCTGGAATGAACTCTATGGTTAATGTATCTCATTAAAAAAAAAAGAGCAGTTGCTTATCTTACAGAGGATCAGAATTCTGTCACTACACCTACATTGTAGATTACAACTGGCTGTTAACTCTAGTTCCAGGGAATCCACAGCCTTCATTTGGCCTCCACTGGAACCAAGTATGAAAGTGGGGCACAGATAGACATGCTGGCAGAACACATACACATAAAGTAAGCATTTTGTGGTTGTTGTTGTTGTTGTTGTTGTGAGCCTAGCCTTTAACAGCTTAGCTATCCCTCCAGCCCAATAAGTATTTTTTTTTAATTTGGCTCTAGTCTCTAGTAGTTTTTGGAATCTACTAACTTCATTGATGTAGATAAATCATAACATCTCATTCACTTTCTACTTCCTGATTTGTGAAACCAGAGAGACAAACCAAAAGACCAGCAAAACAGTCCTTCCAAGTCTCCAATTCTGAATTCAATACATTCTCTTCTCAGAAATGTTTTCATATTTATCAGCAAAAGAAAATCTAATACTCTATTACTAAATCATGCTGTGTATGTTCTTTAAGAAAGAAATGGCACAGAGTTTGCAAACTGCCTAATGTAGTAAACGCTGATCATCTTTCTGGCCACTGAGTGCCTTAAGTTCAAGTATTTCTCAAAGCATCCTGATGGTTTGAGTAAGAATATGCCCCTCACAGACTCATAGGTTTGAATACTTGGTCCCTGACTGATGAAACTGTTTGGGAAGGATTAGGAGGCGAGGCCTTTTAGGAGGAGATGTGTCACTGGAGACAGGCTTTCAGGTTTCAAAAGACTCAAGCCATGTCCATTGTCTCCCTTTATGCCTCCAAACTCCCTTTATGTACGCCAAGCTTGAACTCTTGTTCCTGCCGCCACACCTTTGCTTCACCATCATGGACTATAACTTCTGAAATGGTTAGACCCAACTAAATACCTTCTTTTGTAAGTCACTTTGTTCATGGTGTTTTATCTCAGCACTACAAATGTAACTAGGCTAATGCCATTAATCAAAATATTCAATACATACATATTGAATGCCTCCATCACAACTATTGCTTTCCCAGACCTTTCTAAGCCTCAACAACACCTTTCTTTTAGTAATCTAATGGAAGATAAGAAAGAAGAGAGGGGGAAGAGGAGGAGTAAACTTTCTTGAAGGAACCCAAGGCCTTACTGGCAATGTTCAAAGACTGAGTTACAACTGATTATACATGCAATGTCCTTTTCTTCTTTCTTCAAATGTGATCTAAATCCAATCAGAAGAAAACTATAATAGTCAAAATGAAAGATCATCTAAAAACAGATGTTACAGAAGTAAAATATAACTCAATGGCATGGAGACCATTTCAAACAAACCTCTAAATCAGTAGGTGTAGTTTTAATTTTATATCTTAATTTTAGTGCTGAGAAAAACGTTGACAGGGTAAGGGAAATAAAAGAACTGATATTTACATAATTTAAAGTTTCATGTTATGCCTGTTAGCAAAAACCACCTGTAGAGTTAATTTTAAAAAACCCATTCTAGGATATAAATTAGTAATATAAATAACAAGCTTTAAGATTCATCATAATACCACTATTAAATGCTAAGCATTAAAATAGACACCTCTACAAGGCAAATTTCAACTCCTTCAAAGAGATTCAAGAGCCTCTCATAACATGGACACTGCCCACTAGAGTAGTCTCATCTTCCACCCATCCCTGACTCCCGTCTCGCTACTTACACTCAACTGTTCAGCTCCCCCAGGGCCATTTGTTCCTTGTATGACTCCACACTTTTATAAAGGCTATTCCCTCCGCCTGATATGTCCTTCCCTCTCAAGCTATAAGTACGCCCTCCTTCCTGAAGCTTATCATCACTGCCTAACACCCCCTCCAAAGTGGCTCCCACAGCATTCCTCAGTCTTCCAGTTCACACCACTGGAATCACCTTTTGATGTTCACCCCCCCAACCAGGGGCCGAGTTCTAAAGGGAGGGCCACATCTTATTAAACCACATCCTAGCTCCTAGCACAAGGCCTGAATTCTAGTGACGCTCAACATATACACTGCAGAAGACAAAGTTAACTATGAGAACTAATCCAAGTTTTTCTACTGGAGAATAAGCACAGTTAATAGCACTGTGGATCTCAACCAGTAGCAAGTTAGCCCCTAGAGGACATTCAGTAAAGTCTGGAGATGTATTTGGTTGCCTCAAAGCAGGTACAGTATAGGAAAGAATGTGGCTGCCATTTACGAAATAGAAGTCAGGGATGAGGTTAGCCATTGACAAATGCACCCTTACAACAAATAGTCACTTGTTCACAAAAAAAAATATCTCATTCCAATGTTAGGAAGCCCAGTTGTCATCTGATTTATTCAAATATGATGATTCAATTACACATCTCAGCAATAACCATTAAATGCCATTTTTGAACAGATAGATACATAACAACACTAAAAACAACCTTCACATAATCCTAGTGCTTCATAGCATCTGCTACAGTACTGCAAAGCATCCCATGTTTTTTCAAAGCCAAATTGTAGCTACCAGGAACAACTCCTAAATCAGAAGACGCTGTTTGCTTTAAAGCAAACCATGGGCAGACTCCTTTCCTCTTGTGTAACTATGACAAAAATACAATCTGAGGCACGAGATAGTCAGTGACACCAGGACTAATGAAAATCCCTTAAGCAGGAGGGCCTAGGCCCTGCCCTGAATGAAATGACAGACTCTACGGAGGGCCTCACCCTCCCTAGGGATCTGAGTGGGGATTGGATTGGAGGCTGGGGGGGGGGCTGGGATTGACATGTGAAGCAAGCTTGTTTCTAATCTAAATTTTAAAAAGTGAAAAAAAAGTCCCTTAAGTAAATCGAGGGATCATCACACACAGAAGCTCCTATGAACAAAGCAACTGTAAGAGCCAGAGTAACAGGGCATGCATGCCCTTGCTGCCAAATCACTGCTGCATAAAAAAAAAAAAAGAAGAAAGAAGGAAGGAAAGAAGGAAGGAAGGAAGGAAGGAAGGAAGGAAGGAAGGAAGGAAGGAAGGAAGGACAGAAGGAAAATTGACAAAACAACTGCAAAAGGGAAAGAAAATCAAATGTCAATACAGAGGGCTAGAGACATGAGTTAACTATTTCTCCTCTGATGTAGGACCAAGTTTCAGATGCTGAAGGCCTTTCACAGCAGCGGGCTTAGCAGCAATCTTCCCTGGGTGACTCAACTCTGCTTGGCACATTCCTTGACTAAATACTACAAATTCACTAAGTTCTTGTCCTTTGAACTAATTCTCCTACCTTCTGGGTATAACATCTCTTCACATTTACCAGTCTCAGAAGGCAGCGAAGGGAAGCTATCCAAAACAAAAAAACTTGAGTAGGCAACTCTTATTAGAAGAGATTTTAATTATGTTATTCTAGGAACTGATACCTAAACAAAACACCTACAGCTTTCCAGAGCTCTTAACCTTTTTTACCCTCGTGACTTTCCGGATTTTAAATTGAGATAGCCCTGGTAGAAACTAAACTGGAGTGCGTTTGCCGTTCGATCCATGTGTTCTTGGAAAACTAAAATAAGGTTTTTCTGGGGCTTGGAGAGGAAAACGCACTTGTAATTCTTTCAAAGTTTCCAACAGTGAGTAATATCTTCCTTGTCTGCTGACTTTGCCAGTTAAGCGTCTTCAGTCCCAGGACTCGGGCCCGCGCTAGGCCGGGTCTCCCACTACCCTCTGGCCCGGTGCAGGGGAGTAAGGGCTTGAGGCAGGTGCGTGTCGTGGGGAGGTGGAGGCACGAGGGGACAGGGAGGGGCCCCGCAGCCCCCCACAGCCCCCCGCAGCCGCGCACCCACAGGCGGGGAGCAGGGAGGGACGCGCGGGCACCACACCCTCCAGCCCGCGGTGACAGCCGGGCGCGGGAGCCGGCCCCGGGGCCTCCGGGCTCCAGTCTGCGCCCCGCCCCACCCGCCGCCCGGCTCCGGCAGGACCAGCAGGCCTCGGCGGCCGCCACTGCCGGGCCTAGCGGAGCCCGGAGCCCAAGCCCGCCTCGGCTGCCCGGGGTCGGGCTCGGAGACGCTCGCACTCACGTGCTGCCGGAAGGACGCTTCCACACTCACCCTCTGCAAGATCCTCCTGAACATGGTTTGGCCGGCCGCCGCCGCGGGGACTCTCCGCGCCCTATGCTGGTTACTCACGACCGGGAGCCGGCGGGCGAGCCGGGAGGAGGGCGGGGGCGAGGCGGCGGTGGACGCTGCTTGGGCGGCCCCGACTTGCCCACACGGACGGAGAGGCAGCGAGCGAGCACGAGCCAGCGAGCACCGAGGCAGCGAGCGCCCGCCTGCCGGGCCGCCCCCGTAACTGACAGCTGGGCGGGCCCGCCCGTAGCCGAGGGGCGGAGTCGCTGCCGCCCCGCCTCCTCGGCCTGTCCGTCCGCGGGGAGGGCGGGGCCGGAGGAGGGCCGGGCCCGAAGCTCCGACCAATCGAAAGCGGGGCTAGCGTGACAGACAGGAAGCTGGTAGCTCGGCTTCTTCCGGCGTGCGCGTGGACGCCCGGGCGCTGGACCGCGCTTGGCACTTTCAGAGGGCTGCGTCCGGACAGAGAAGCTGGGTCGCGACCTGTGGGTCACTCCTGGAGGTGTCCTTACCCGGGGCTGGAGAAACTGGCCCCAAAGCCGCGTTCCTGGACGAGCGCCAGCCTGAGATGGAAGTTTGCTAGCGCTCTAGACACCGCGCTGACCCGGAGCCGAATCTTTATCTGGGCTGGAAAGGCTGATTGCGACCGCCAAGCGCCAGGCCAACGTGGGCCAGAGAATCCGAGATCACCTTCACTGTGCTAGGCTTCCCTCTGCTTTTTCAGTCCCAGGTTATCCGCTGCCTTCCTGATGGCAGCCACAGCCACAGTAAAGCATGGGAGGAGGCTGGGTTTTGAATTAGCTAGAGTTTGGGTTCATCCTCTTGTGAGAGGGCAAAGGTTTCTGCATCTTATTTCAGCTAGGGCCGTCTTTGGTTTAAACTGAAAGTGAGCCTCCGCTTTTCTACCCTTGCCCGTAGGAAAGAGCCCAACCATGTTGTAGGAATTTGTGGTCCAAATGCCCCAGCTAACTTCGTTTTCTTGGCTCCTGTTAAGCTGCTTGCTTGCTTCCCCCTTGTAACTGTCAACTGAGATGTGAGTTCTCTGTATTGTCTCTCAAAAACTCCCAGTAATATACATTCAAGGTTGTTCTGATAAGTCCAGGCAATCCCAGAGCTAGGGAGGCTTCTTGACAGGTTCTCAGTGCCTAGACTACACAAGGGAGACTTGGGATCCTAAGAGTGCCTGGTGACCTGGGAACTGTGATAGACCCAGGTTTGGGGGATGCCTATGGCAGGTTCCCAAAGCCTAGATTGTGCAAATAGGGGCACTTTTTAACAACCCGGGGGTAAGTTTTCTCTGTAGCTCACAATACTGGAAACTTGTGGAAAAGCTGAATACAGTGTCAATTTCTGAATCAGAGGGACCGCCTAGACAATACTAGCCCTTGCTCAGGATTCTGGGTGCCTACCAGGTCGTAGAACATAGTCTTTTTTATAGTGTGTAGGTTGTTTGTTGCATAGTTTATCATTCTTGAGAAAAGTGAAACGATGGCTCAAAATTCTACCCAAACAACCCTCCTGAACCTGATGAAGTCTCATTTTAAGAATTTCCAGAGAAAAACCCAGGAGTCCAGAGAATGGGCCCATATAGGAAAAAAAAAACTACTTTTTTTTCCCCTTGATTGCTCGTCATTTCAGATGGACTGGCAAACAGAAGCATCCTTAAACCTTCTGCTTAAGCAAAGTGTAGCATGTGGTCTTTAACCAGGCACCCAGACCAGCTCCCCTACATCCTGGCCTGGAGGGTTCTGGTAGAGGAGTCCAAATCCTACGGTTTGTTTTTGTTTTTGTTTGAAAACCTTCCACACAAACTAAGAACAGAAATATGTTTTCAAAAGGATGACACTAAATTGGACTTTAAAAGCCCTAAAATTATAGACAAAATTTTACTAAATGTTCCATTGGGGAAGAATATATCCTATCAAACTGTTATCCTTTGGAGAAAAAAAATCAGAACTTTTATAAGACCTACAATCCTTTGTTTGGGCAGAGACAAACCTACCCCAGGACTTGCAGCCCACTAATCCCCCCAGTGATAATGGAACTAAAAAGCAATGCTATTCCTGTCAAGGTAAAGGAATATGTTATGACATTAGAGGCAAAATGAAATTGAAGTGTGAACTGATAGAAACTTGAAGCTGGTATGTTAGTCCCTGCCACTCCATTATTACCTCTTTAAAAAAACTGGGAACAGGTGATTATAGGCCAGTCCAGGAACTCCAGGGAGTGAGCAGAAGAGAACAGGACACCCACCCAACAGTTCGAAACCCATGTTTTCTTAGCTAGGGTTTCTATTGCTGTGATGAAACACCATGATCAAAAACAAATTGGGGAGAAATGGGTTTATTTGGCTTACACGTCAGCATTGCTGTTCATCGCCAAAGGAAGTCAGGACAGGAACCCAAACAGGGCAGGATCATGGAAGTAGGAACTGATACAGAAGCCATGGAGGATGCTGCTTATTAGCTTGCTCCTCCTGTCTTGCTCAGCCTGCTGGCTTAAAGAATCCAGAACCAACAACCCAAGGATGGCACCACCCACCATGGGTTGGGTCCTTACCCATTGATCACTGTTTGAGAAAATGCCTTACAGCTGGGTCTGGTCTTATGGAGGCATTTCCTCACCTGAGGCTCCTTCATTTCTAATAGCTGTAGCTTTTACCGAGTTGATGCACAAAACCAGTCAATATACATAGACTCCTGAGTTCAGTCCCTCCCAAGAAGCTGATTCATACTGTGCTAGATCTAAAAGATGCTTTCTTCAGCATGCTGCTGGCCAGATCAAGTCTACTGATAGTCAGTTTTGAGTAGGTGGACATGGACATAGAGACAGGTTGCAAAACCTCCCAACTTTGATGGGATGCTCCACAGAGATTTGCAGGCGTTCACTGAAATTGTAACTCTCCTGCAATATGTGGCTGACCTGCTGGCGGCTGAAGCAAGAATATGGTCTCCATGTCACCTTGACTGAATTAACCTCGGAATCTGGAGAAGAATGGGTGGGCCTCCTTCCATTTGCCCTTTATAGGGCTTGATGTACACCTTACATAAAATTTTATTTTGGGGAGACCTCCTCCCATTCTCTCTCTAATAGGGTTAGAACTTGCTACTGAAATTAGCAAACCATGGCTGCCTCCATTTAAAACTGCTTTCCAGACTCCACTGCCTCATCCACACCCCTTTCGGCCAAGCCGTAAAGTGTGGATCAAGAGACATCAAGCTGAGGGGACACATCTGGTCATCCTGACCACCCTCATTGCTGTCAAAGTAGGTAGCATCCATACCTGGATACATCACTCCCAGGTCAAGCCTGTCACAGGAAATGATGACACAGCTCCTAAGAAATGGTCAGCAAGACCTGTGAGGATCCACTAAAGATAAGACCGACATGGGTTTTACGCTAATGATGTTGTTTTATCTGACTATATTCCCTCCTGTTTTTTCCTGGGATCCGAATAACCATCCCTGGACCCTATACCAACAAAGCTGACCCCTACAGCATTGAAGTTTCATCTAAATGCTGTAGGAAACCACAAGACTATTGTTATGCCTTCTGCCCTGTAGCAAGCTGTGTGGAAGTTGTACACTTTTTTTTTTTTTTTTTTTGGTTTTTCAAAGACAGGGTTTCTCTGTGGTTTTGGAGGCTGTCCTGGAACTAGCTCTTGTAGACCAGGTTGGTCTTGAACTCACAGAGGTCCACCTGCCTCTGCCTCCTGAGTGCTGGGATTAAAGGCATACACCACCACCACCCGGCTCAACACCTCACTTTTAATATCAGGGACACTGTCCAGAGAAATGTATATCTGACCCCCAAACTTAAAGTACTGAGACTTAGTTTATGTGTGTCAGTGTCATGTATGAACAAACCCACCCAGACTAAAAGGACCCTAATTACAAGGGTTGTCCACACTGGGCCTTGCAAGTACCACAGAAGTCCATCCTCGATTTGGAGATGGGTGTAGTAGAGTTACCTATGAAGTTCTTGACCCGTAGGACAACAGATGGGAAATGGATCCTTAGTGCTTCCTTTAGATGGTGATAGGTTGATGCCTCTGGTGGGCCCAAAATACTGGTCTTTAGAATCTGCTAAATATATGCCTTTCTTTGATTCTATCCCCCAAGAAAAAGGCCTGAGACTACTTGGCACTTTTTCCTCCCCAGCCCATCTCACTCACAATTCCACCCACCAGAACTCTTCTACCCCAGACCTGCTTTGCACCCCTGCTGCCATTATTCCTACCTCTGCCCCATCAGCAGAACTCACCAGTTTGAGCAACTTCCGACCACTGCACCTTCTCTCCCTCTTCTTCTAACCCCACTCTTCTGACCTCCCTACAATTCCTAGTGACCATGATAGGATTGGAATACCAACCTATAAATACTACTAACCCAAATATTACACTTGGCTGCTGGTTCTATATATCACCCTCCACCACAAGAAAGAAAGAAAGAAAGAAAGAAAGAAAGAAAGAAAGAAAGAAAGAAAGAAAGAAAGAAAGAAAGAAAGAAAGAAAGAAAACACTGTGTACATAGGGACCCAACCTCCATCATTCCCTCAGCCTGGGCAAATTGCCTGTGGGAACTAGTTCACTCAACTATCAAATCCCTTGACCTAGATTTGATCCACAGTGAAAGAACCTGCTTTTATTCAAAGAGCTATGGTATGTCTAGATCTACCATCAAGGTTTCAAACATCCCAGGAACCACTCTTATCAGGCCTCCTGGTGCTCATTGTGTCTTCAGAGGAAGATGCTTGAAGATTTCAGTCAGCCTCCTAGACAGAATGGTACTCCCAGCTAGCACCTAGCTCTGGCCAGGTCGGTTCTAGGTGTTCCTAGGAGAAAGAAGGCTGCTCCTGAGACACCCCCCCCCAAGACAGACCCTCTGTACCCTGTCCACCAGCAGAGGAATGCATTCCAGCGTCCACAGCTCCTGCCCCAGGAGACACTGCTTCCTTCCAGGCAGAGAATTTACCTAGGCCTCAAAGGATGGCTACCTCTGCTTCGGTATGTACCATTCCTGCCTTGGCCTTTGAGACCTACCAGGACAGGAGACATCCCACCACCACCACCCACTCCCTGCCTTTATTGGTGAGTTGCTATCAACAGAGTTGCTCTGCAGTATCCTCAGAGCATAGAGCTGTAACACCTCTTGATGGTCTCTTGCCTAGGCAACCCAAAGCCCACCAAGAATGTAGGTCTGTAACACTCCC